GACTCAGACCTGCACCCAGATCTGCACCCATAACTACATCCAGAGCAGCAGCCCCATCTGCACCCACATCCACAGACCTGCACCCAGACTCACATCTGCAAACAGAGCTGCACTCCAAACAGCATCTGCATCTGCACCCGCACCTAGACCTGCACCTAGACCTGCACCTGCACCCAGACCTGCACCCAGATCTGAACCTGGATCTGCATCCAGACCTGCACCTGGATCTGCACCCACATCCGGACCCAGACCTGCACCCAGAACCTCCATCCCATTCCCATTCCCGTTGCTGTCCTGGAGCTCTTTGCCGCCTTTATGGACTCCAGACCTGCACCTGGATGTGCACCCAGAGGACCATCCACATCTGCACCCACATCCAGACCCAGACCTGCACCCAGGACCTACATCTGCACCCATACCCAGCCCTGCACCTATAACTGCGCCCAGAGCAGCATCATCTGCRCCCACACCCAGCCTTGCACCCAGTCCTGACCCACCCCACCCCAGACCTCCACCCCAACCTGCACCTACTGCCGCTCTGCCCCCAGACCCACACCCAGCCCAACTGCACCCACAGGAGACCCATCCCCATCACTCCATCCCCTGGTCCCATTCAGCCCTGGCTTCCTCCTGTTACCCAGGCTTGGGACATGGGGACAGCTGAGCCCTGACACACTCAGCCCTCCCCAGAGCCCGTTCCGTCCCGTCCCCCATCTGTCCCAGGGCCCCCCGATGCTCCAGCCCTATCCCATCTCATCTCATCCTGTGCTGGAACCCATGATGCCCCATCCCAACCTGTCCCACCCCATCCTGAAGCCCCCGACACTCCCATCCTGTCCTGTCCCCATCCCTGCCCCCATGCCCACAGTTCAGGATGCTCCTGTCCTATTCTGTCCTGTTCTGCTCCATCCCTCTCCCACACACCATGATGTTCCTGTGCAATCCTGTCTTGCCCCATCCCATCATCATCCTCTTCCCTCTTTCCTGCAGCCCCATCCCATCCCATCTCATTCCCATTGCTGTCCTGGAGCTCTTTGCTGCCTTCATGGAGGCATGGAAGGAGAAACCTGGATGGGATGGGGTGCCAGGAACCCCCAGGACCATGGTGGGACCTCAAAGCTGGCCGAAATGGAGGCCTGCGGCAGGGAGGMCACCAGGGAGTGAGGCCACAAGCTGCCCTTGGGCAGCAAAACTCAGCATCTCCGCGTTACCTTCCATGGTCCTCAAGTGCCACCACTCGGTGTGAGCCAGACACAGCAGCCCCGGCACCGCAGAGGTCCTCAGGGGAGGCAGAATCGGATGGATTCGGAATGAGAGGCCCGAGAGGAGGACGAGCTCCTCAGCAGGAGGTTTCTCCCAGGCTTTCTGCACGTGGTGTCGAAAAGGACCATGTGGGCACAGCCTCATCAGCTGGTGGATGGGTGTAGAGGCACCCATGGGTGCAGAGGCACTGGCTGCGGGGCTGTGTTGGGTGTCGGAGCACAGGGAGTGRCTGCAAGGGCTTGGTGGGGTAAGAACATGATGGGTGAGAAGGGACARAGGTTACCACGGGTGCAGGGGCTCAGTGGGTGTAGGACCTCATTGCGTTTAAGAGCTCATTGGGTGCAAGAGCATGTTGGGTGCAAGACCATGATGGCTGCACAGGCTGATGGGTGCAAGGACATGTTGGGTTCAAGGGCACATTGGGTGCAAGGGCACATTAGGTGCAAGGGCATGTTGGATGCAAGACCATGATGGGTGCAAGGGCATGTTGGGTGCAAGGGCATGTTGGGTGCAAGACCTTGATGCGTGCACACATGTGAGGGGTCCTGAGATGCGATGGGTGCAGGAGAAGGAGGCTGCAAGGACCCAATGGGTGCAAGGACACACGATGGGCGCGCGGGGTCACCACGGTGCAAGGACACGATGGCTGCAAGAACTCCGGTCACGTTGGAGCCTGAACATTGGGGTTGAACCCCCAAACCTCCAACGTGGACCCCAGTGGCCGCTCCGGGCTCCCCGCTCGCCCTTCCCGGAAAACCAGGGACACGCAGACACTGTTGCTGCTCCCGGGACTTGGGGCTCACTTCCCGGCCACGTGCCCAGGGTGAGGGCCCCACCGGTGCCACCCGTGACCCTGCGAGACAAACTCCGTGTGTTTCTGCAGGGCCCCGGGCCAGGACGCGCCTGGGTCACAAGACGCTCACGCTGGGGTGCAAACCAAGAGCAAAAAGCARTTGTTTTAGTAAAAAAAGAGCTGAAAATACCACGGGAAAGAGCCGGGAGCGGCAGTGGAGGAGGGAAAGGGCTTCCAAGCGCTGGGTGCTGCGCCAGGGCACTCAGTGGGTGCCGCGCTGCCCGCAGGCGTCCAGGAGCTGCCGCTGGCTGAAGAGGCAGAAGGCGATTTCCTCGCAGCCGCTCACCGGCCCGCACTCGAACAAGCAGCCGAAGAGGCCGCCGGGGCACACGGCCAGGTCCGAGTAGCCGCAGGGGCCCTCGTAGAGCAGCCAGGGCGGCCACCAGCTGCTCCCCGACAGCGGCGAGGGGTTCACATAGACGCCCAGGTCGCGCCGGCGGCGCCTGTCGGTGGGGTGGGAGAAGAGGAGCCAGGAGGCTGCGTTTGCGTTGGCYTTGGGGTCGTCGGCCTTGGCATCGTCGGGGTTGGCATCGTTGGCTTTGTCAYCATTCGCCTTGGCGTTGTTGGCCTTGGCTTCGTTGATCTTGGCATCACTGGTCTTGGCATCGTTGGCATTGTCATCATTTACCTTGGCATTGTTGGCCTTGGCAGTGTTGACGTTGTCATCACTCGCCTTGGCATCGTTGGCCTTGGCAGTGTTGGTGTTGGCACTGTCAGCAACGGTGGCGTTGGCAGCGTTGGCCTTGATGTTGTTGGCCTTGACACTCTTGGCGACGGCGTCATTGGCAAGGGCATCGTTGGGCTTGACATTGTTGACCTCATCATCATTGGCCTTGGCATTGTTGGCAATGGCATCACTGGCAATGACATCATTGGTGATGATATCGTTGGTGATGACATTATTGGTGATGATATCGTTGGTGATGACATTATTGGTGATGACATTGTTGGTGACGACATTATTGGTGATGACATCGTTGGCAATGACATCGTTGTCCTTCGTGTTGTTGATGACACTGTTTGCCTTGGTGTTGTTGGCGATGACATTGTTAGTGACCGCCTCATTGCTGACAGCCTCGTTGCTGATGGCATCACCGGCAACGGCGTCATCACCCTCGGTGCCGTCATCACCATCGTCACCCTCATCCTCTGGTGTGAAGCTCACGACGCTGCCCTGGCACCCACGGGGCGGCTCGCAGAGCTCCTCRCACCGCACCGAGCGCCCGAACCACAGCCCCTGGTCCGTGCTGAGCGCCACGGCCCGGCACCGCAGGCGCCGCGGGCGCGCGCTGCAGTAGAGCACGGAGCCGCCGTCGCCGGYGGCCACCTCGGCCACCTGGCACTCGCCGGTGCCCACGCCCTGCACCAAGGCGCCCTTGCTCCAGCTCCGGCCCTGGTCGTCGCTGTAGACCACGAGGGCGTGCGGGCGCGTGCAGCAGGGCAGCGGGCGCCCGCAGAGGCGCCGGTGCACGTAGTAGGCGTAGGCGGGCGCCGCGAGGCGGCCGGCGCGCAGCTGCACGCCGTGGCCCGGCCCCAC